TTATATTTTCCAGAGAAACACTATGGCATCTGGCCGGAAATATTAACATTGTTTAAAGATCACTGGAGTTGTTATCTAGTTTTTTTTTAAATATTTCCTTAACGTGACATTATTTCAAACAAATTGTGTATGTTAATATGTTCTTTGTGATTAAAGTTGATGTTTTGCGTTTGAATGCTTTGTTGGGTTTCAAATATTAGAAAGTTTTCCCGTTGGATTAAATGTGGGGTTTCAAAACTGACGTAGGTCGGTTCCTTCATGTTCTGTAATTGATATACATGAGAAGTATAAAGACCTATGCATTAAAAAATAGAAGTTCAATATATGTAGTTCCAGGACAAACATGTACCTACCAAACAAACAATTTCAATTAGGCCTACATATCTTTCTAAAACCTTACTATATTACTTATTTCAAGTATATCGTCACTGTTTAGCACCAAAACACCTATTTTTAAGGTATTAATGTGAAATGGAAATAAAAGAAATCGGTAGGTAAGTATTTGAATTTGCAGGCCGAACGTGCTCCATCGAGAGGCCGAACGTGCCCCAGGCCGGGGCACGTTCGGCCACGTGTTGGAAATTTATTTCATGTTAAATTTCTTAAAAACGCAAGGTCTTCTTTACATTTGACCAATGTATAAAAAAAGGAAATTTAGCAGTCTATCTACTCAAAACACATCATTGAGATTCGTCGTCAAACAGCTGAACTACAACCGATCAAAAGAAAAGGGGCCGAACGTGCCCCGGTCTCCCCTATCCTTCAGAAAAGGATTTATAGATTTAAATAGAGAGAAAGGCTCAAAATGCTTGAATGTTTACCATTTGCTTCATCTACCAGCTCACTGACATGGTCAAGAAGATGTGTTCTCATCTGCAACCTGGCTCTATTTTCATTACCAAAACTGGTGAAACTACTATTGCACTTTCCAGGCATTAAGTAACATGTGTAGGTATAGTTCCGCTTCAGCTCATGTGCAGATGTATCTGAGAATAATGCCAAAAGCTGTTTGTCTGTGAGCTGGGCTATCTGGTCCAATGACAGCACATCCAGAGACTGCATACTGCGGGCTGTTAACTGGATATAAGGTAAATAAATATAGAATAGCATATCTAAATAATTAATATAAAACTTTAAAGTGCTTTAAATTGCTAGGAATATTCCTCATTTTAACTTGCATTACATTAAACATCAAAAAGGGATACTTCTAAATTTGTTATATCTTGGCATTAATTGAAATGCTTTAATACAGAGACATTGTACAAAGAAAGCAAAGAATTTCAATATAAATATGCTGAGACCATCCTTGTTTTAAAAAAGATTTCATTAGTAACTACCTTCTTGGTTGGAGTTTTAGCAGCTGATGGATCACTTGCAAGGGTTTCTGATGCTACCTGTGCGAGCACATCTAACATCATGTTTCCCCTGTTTTGCGAGTCTAACTGATCCTCATCTCCGACATCTTCCATGTCAATCTCCTCTTCATCACTGGAGCCTTTGTCATCTTCTGGATCTTGATCTACCTCAACACTGGTGTCAAAGGTGCAAAGATCAGAACTTGTATTGTGAGATTCTTCAATGTCCCCCTCCACATCAACTTCCATTTCACCATCCTCCAGATCTGAAGAGTCCTCTTCAGTTTTTACCAATGTGGAACTGCTAGATTCTAATTGGAAGACAAAAAGAGGATTAAAACATTTTTTCAATTTCACTGTTCAATTTCACTGTTTTTTCAATTTCTACATCACTGTTTCTAAGAGTGATAGAATAAAAAAATCCTATCATTTCCATTTAAATAACTGGTCAGCTTGAATGAGCAGGAAAAAAGTTACTTAAATTAAGTTTTTTTTTAAGCTGTGAGCATGTAAATTCTGTAACAGTAATAAAATTAATGTTCTGGCTTTAAATATCAGATCTTTATGAAAAGTAAAAATGCAAGGAATAAAAGAAACTGTTCAATTAACTTAAGTCTTCTGGAAAAAAAGTACAGTATACAGTCCCCCTGAAGTATACAGGCATATTAAAACCTCTAAAGATTAAAAACAAATCTTTATGCAT